CATATACCACATTTTATTAATCCACTCATGTATTGATGGACACTTGGGTTGTTTCCACATCTTTGCAATTGTGAATTGTGCTGCTATAAACATTAATTTTAAGGAATCAAATACATTAGGATTTTTTGGTTGTGGCCTGGATGTTTTGCTTCTGTAAATGCAGAAATCAAATGGCAGCATTAATAAAATAACTTTAAATTACATCATAATAGGACTGTGTAGTAAAGCCTAGAACCTCAGGGATGACTGACACACATGAAATCTACAAAAGACAGAAAAAAATAGGGGAGGGGGAGTTTTATGTTGAAGACCTGAAGGGGAACACAGTATATGAAATATTTTAATTCAGTAGGAGAAAGAGGAAAAAGGGCATCAATGATGCAATCATGATGTAATAGTGTGCTTCGCTGAAAAGTTCAATAAGGGGAAAAGGATTTACTGTTTATATAAAAACGTATAAGCCTCAATCTGAGGAAAATAGTATTGATAGGACAAATCAAACGCAATAACATTTTTTCATAACCCATCTAGTAGAACACATTTCAATAAATAAGTGAAGACCCAAAACGCACTACAGAAATCACGAAATCAGAAAGTTCAAAATAAAATACCAGCCCATTTTCTCCAAAAATTGAAGGTACAATTCAAACCCATTTGGACTTAAATTATTTCCATTCTCTTCCAGAGTGTCATCTCTGGTATTGAAAAATCAAGGCTTGGACACTCGCAATCATCCATCATGGGGATGATGGGAGCCTCCAGTGAGAACAGGCAAAGCTCTGCTCTCCAATGGCTCAGCCAGTGAAGGACCTGCAGTCCCTGTGCTAGAGCCATTGTCCCAAGGTGAGTGGAAGTGTTCTGGGCTGAACCAATAAGAGACTTGCTAAGATGATTCGCTAAAGACGTTGAGGTAGAAGGGGCTGTGATGCTCTCCCTATTGTTTATCTATTTCATTGCCTGTATCCATATTTTAGTCACAAGGATAAGGATATGATTCCAGAGCTATGGGTGGACTTATCTCCTACTTATGCCATCAAATAAGAAAACAACAACAAATCAATCATCAGAATTAAAATGATTCCCCTACCTCCACCTCCCATTTCTTCCTCAAGTTATTTGATTGTTAAGTAATTTTTTTCACCTCCAAGCACATGTGCCTGATAAAATAAACCTCCCTACTTGAACGTGCGAGTGTAATAAACCAGCTCTCATGGCAGCAGCCAAACAATCGGATCCGGCCTGATTCCTGACGCATGCATCACCGCCCTCTTCTTTGAACAATGCGCATTACTCCGGGATTAGAGGAGGATGAGGGTGGGATGGGGAGGAAGAAGTTTGAAAAAGGGGCCAATTACTCTTTCTGCTCATTAGGTGGGACCTATAAAAACAATCTAAGATCACAAGCAGGTTTTGATAGACCGAAAACAGGACATTCCTGAAGCCGTCATTGGTACCGATTCACCACCTATTAATATTTCCCCAGGATTCTCAAGGAGATCCACGTGGGCCTCAGCCTGACACAGGAGGCCGTGAGCGTCACGGATTCGTTCCTTCACAACCTCTTCAAGTGCATCGCCCACAAGACCACCCGCCTGGCCTGCTACACAGAGTGCAGGACCAGCAGGACCATCACCTCCAGAGAGATCCAGACCGCCGTACGCCTCATGCTGCCCGGGGACATCGGCAAGCACGCCGTGTCCGAGGTCAGCAAGGCCATCATCACATACACTCGCCGCAAGTGAGCCACCTCAGGACCTGCTTAGAACTGACTCTCAAAGGGTGTTTTCAGAGCCATAGCAGTTGGCACCAAAGAGCTGAGGCACGCCACAAGAGGATGCGTTGTAGTGCGTTGTAGTGTTGGGGTAGGTGCCATCCTGCAGATTTGGAGGGCAGGTGGCATGGGGTGTCCCACAGATTTGAGGGGTATGTAGCATGTGGCGTCCTGACGGTTTTGGCGGTAGGCCACATGTGGCACCCTGCTGATTTTCGGAGCTCATGTGATCAGATGACCTTTTCCCCTGTGGGGCATCTTGGTAACTTTTCTGGACCCTGGTAACAGGAAGCTCATAGGTCCGCACAAACCAATTGTGATTGGTGGATGCGATGCCCCCCAGGAGGACTATCCAATCCCCTTGAGTGCCCTGCGATTGGCTGACAGGATCACCACGTGACGTTTCATCCAGTCAGATGGCGAGTGGGCTGGTGACGTAGGGAAGTGCAGCGCATAAAAATGGGTCCCCAACAGCCCAAAGTCGCCATCTTCGGTTCTCCAGAGACCCTGACGACTGTCTCCGCCATGGCCGAGCTGTACTCTGACATATCCTCCGAGCCGTGCACCAGCACCACGGAGCCTGAAGAGCCTAAAGAGCCTGAATCGACGACGACCCTGAAGAAGAAGCAGCCCAGGCGTCGCGGCCGCCGCTCCAGCCGGAGCGGGGACAGCTTCGCCGCCTACTTCCCCAGGGTCCTGAAGCAGGTCCACGACGGCCTCAGCCTGTCCCAGGAGGCCGTGAACGTGATGGATTCGTTCGTTCACGACATCTTCGAGCGCATCGCTGAGGAGGCCGGCCGGCTGGCGCGCTACACCAAGCGCAAGACCATCACCTGCAGAGAGATCCAGACGGCCGTGCGCCTCACGCTGCCCGGGGAGATCGGCCGGCACGCAGTGTCCGAGGCCAACAAGGCCGTCCTCAGATACACTCGCCGCAAGTGAGCCGCCTCAGGATCGCCTGAGCACCGAAACCCAAAGGCTCTTTTAAGAGCCACCTCAGTTGTCTCAAAAGAGCTGTAGCACTCCAGGGGGGTGGGGGTACCCCTGGAATTCTGTGGCAGGCGGCAGCTGGCGCTCTGCCGATGTGGGGGCCATGTGGCCAGTGCCGTCCTGCCCACGCATGATTGATGTATCCAGTGGTACTTCACGTGTCATAGAGCAGCAGATAAAGTGCACAGATAGTGACAGATAGCGAAGTCACATATATCCTAACCAAACTTTTCGTCAACATATCCCATCTTGGAGATTCATTTAAACGTGGAGGTGAGCATACACACAGGACAGAAATAGCTAAACCAAAGTTTAAAAAAATAATTAGCGTTTCAAGCTCCCTAGAGGCTGATGTTAATATCCTAATTTGCTCAAATTTTTCTGATTTTTTTCTTCTCAAGTCTGAAATCTTTCCTGTTTTTAACACATGGACTACCACACTAGAGAAATTTTTTTCCCTTGGGGCCACGGTGTTTTATTATCAAAATAGAATAAAAGCTTTGAAAATTAAACTATCCTTTCTCGTTTAACGAAAAATTTACAAAAAAAGAAATTTATTGACTTGTATTCATTTAATCCACATTCTAATAATTAATTTGTCAATATTAATTGTAACAATAAGAACATCAACAAGTAAGATTTTCATGAACTCACTGCAGGGTTTTGACCAGGTTTTGCTTCATGATCCCCAGGTGCAAAACTAGTATGAGTTCTCAACTGGCTCAGCCAATGAAGGACCCGAAGCCCCCGAGCTGCAGCCTTTGGCCCACAGAGTATGGAGCTGAGCATGGATGAGCCAATAAGATCCTTCCAGGTTATCCTGCTCTGCCGACTGAATAGGAAATTGGTGTGTTTCTTTGCCTGTTGTTAGTTTCTTTTTGTACTTTTTTGTGTGTATTTATTTATGTTTTGAGACAGGGTATGGCACTGTCACCTGGGCTAGAGTGCAGTGTTCCAATCATGGCTCACTGCAGCCCCAAACTCCTGGGCTCTAGCGATCCTTTTGGCTCAGCTTCCCTAGTAGCTAGGTGTACAGGCACCAGCCACCAGCCACAAGGTCGGGCTAATTTTTGTCTTTTATTTTTTGTAGAGAGGGGGTATTGCTACATTGTCCAGGCTTGTGTCTTGTATTTTTTTATTGTATAAATTTAAGGTGTAAATCATGAAGTTTTTGATATGCACATACGTACCACAATAATTACTACCAGTGAACAATGTAACATATCCACCGCCTTCTATACTTACCTGTGTGTGTGATAAGAGCACCTAAAATCTATTCTACTACAAATTTTTAATGTACAACATAATATTTTTATGGTTCTCCTACTGTACATTCTATGTCTAAACTGAATTATCTAACGTAATTGCACTTTTGTACTTCTAAACATTCAGCTCCCCGTTTTCTCTCCTTCTCCATGCCTAGTAACCACCATTCTATTCTGTGTATTTGACTTCTTTTAAAAACTTCACAAAGCAGGGAGATCATGCAGTGTTTTTCTGTGTGTGAATGCTTTGTTTCACTTAGCATGTTTTTAGGTTCATCCATGTTGTCATAAATGGGACTATCTCCTTTTCTAAAGCTGAATAATATTATAGTGCATGTTTATATATCTATACCTATAGGTATACGTAGATAGAAACATCATAATTTCTCCATCAATTCCTCTGTCTATGGACACTGAGGTTGGTATTGTTACTAATGTAACAATGAACATGGGAGTGCACATATCACTTCAATGTACTAGTTTCATTTTCTTCAGTGTACACCCAGAAGTAGAATCACTGGGTCATATGAAAGTTCTTTTTAAATTTTGAGTAACCTCCATTCTCTTCTCCATAATGTCTGTACTAATTTACACTCTCAGTCAACAAGGGTTCCCTTTTCTCCAAACCCTCACCAAGGGTTCTGATCACTGACTTTTAAATAGTAGCCATCCCAACAGATGTGAGGTGGTATCTCATTGTGTGTGTGATGTGCAATTCCCTGGTGATGACTGTTGAGCACTGCCTTAGGCCATTTGTGCTGCTATGACAATATACCACAGACTGGGTAATTTATAAACTATAGAAATTTATTTCTACCACTTCTGGAAGCTGGGAAGTCCAAGATCAAGCTTCTGGCAAGTTCTTTGTCTAGTGAGGGCTCCTGTTTCCTTCCAAGATGGTGCCTTGTTGCTGCATCCTCGAGAGGGGATGAATGCTGTGTCCTCACATGGAGAAAGGGACAGAGGGCAATAAGGGATGAATGCTGTGTGAAGCATCTTTTTAAGGGCCTTCATCTCATTCACAACAGAGGTGCCTACACTACCCAATCACCTTCTAAAGTCCCCACCTCTTCATAGGGTGAAAGTCGTGACAATCAAAACGGAGTCACTTGTGTAGAAGCCAGGGAAGACTATGAAAAAAACTGCTCCCAGGCAAAAATGCCTGATAACAAAAGCTATCAGAAAAGACTGAAACACCCACAAACTCTCAGTAAGGCCATCCCAACTACACACAAAAAATACTTCTGTGAGGACATCTGCCCAGCAACTGCCTAGCCAACATTGGACTGGTGTCACCTTTGTTATTGATCTTTGTAGCCAAGGATAATCATCTCAAAACGATAATGGAATCCTCCTCATTTTTCCTTTAAAACCCTTTGTCTATCTTTACCTCCCTCCATAGGCACATAGTTTCTTGGTGCATGTATTCCCCTTACAATGCCTGCTTCCCAAATAAATGTTATTTTCTTTTAGAGCCTCTCTGTATTTGTTATGTAGATTGACAATATAATTGCATTGGATGTTAAGTTTCAATATGCATTTTGTAGGGGACAAATATTCAAACCGTAGCAACCACCTTTTCATATATCTATTGGTCATCTGCGTGTCTTTGGAAAAATATCTATTTATACCCTCCATGTTTTCATCACAATATTTCTTTCTTGGCTATTGCTTTGTCTGTGTTCCTTTTATATTTTGGATAGTAACGCTTTGTAAGACATATGGTTTGAAAATATTCACTCCCAGATAGGCAGCCTTTCCATGTGGTTTCCTTTGCTGTGCAGAACTTTTCCCGTTTCATGTCAGCTCTGTTGTTGACTTGTTTTTGTTGCCTGTGCTTTTGGTGTGATTTCCAAAAGGTCATTGCCAAGCCTGTTTATTTTATTTTATTTTTTTAGCTTTGTAAATTGAGGCTGTTTATTTTTGAAAGTGTTTCTTTCCTTTTCATTGTGCTGACTTAAGGATATGTATCTAGAGCTGTTAGTGGACTTATCTCTTACCTGTTACATCATATTCAGAAAAATGTAGTGATCCCTTATGAGAGGTAAGGTAACTCCCTTCCTCCACTGTCTTTTCCTTCAGGCTATTTGCACGTTGAGATATTTTATTTTTTTCACTGACAAGTGAATGTGCCTGACAGAGGAAAACCCACCATATTAACTTGGCAGAATGAAAACCCAGTTCCCAGTTCAATGGCCAATACAATGGGATTGATCTCACTCCTGAACTCTCACCCACCTCCTCCTCTTTGATCATGGCCCAGCACCCCTGGATAAGGAGAGAATGACTGTATGGTGGGGGAAGAGGGAGCTTAAAAAGTAGCCATTTACTCTTTCTCTTTATTATGAGGGACTTGTTTAAAAGACCTGGGATCACAGGCTCGTTTTGGTGGGTCTCTGTGGAGGACATTAGTGCAACGTGAGAGCACCTTGGCTCCTCTTCACTGGGTCATCAGTCCAGTCCTTGCATGCTGCCCTGTTTCCATTGAAGGGATGTGACAGGCCAGTTCTGCCTCTTATGTCCTCTATTGTTGTTTATGATCCTTCTGAAATCCTGTAACTTGTCCATAATGACACCACCTCTTCATTCTAGATCGTCCTTCACAGAGGTAAGTGTAAACAATGTCATCCCCTGGAAGATGACATTAGGTAGGGACCCTATAGCTTTGGGTGGACCAGATGCTTGACCAGGTATTTTGTCATGTACCACTGGTAAGTTTTTTTCAAGAATGCATATTTATAGTTGCTTTGCTTGCTAAATTAATTGGACGAGTATAGTCAATTCTATCCCTTCTAGCAACCCAGAGTCCTTTTGCAGATGGGATCTTCCAAGAGAAGTGAAGGGCCTTACCCACAGGTTTTGTGTTAGACCTGACACCAGGACACAGGTCAATTTCCTGAATGTCAGTCTAGTGTCTGGTGTATGAGGCGTGGTATTTACCCGTGAGAGTTTTAGCCTATCAAAGCCTTATAGAAGCCGTGCTTATGTGTGTTAGCCTACCGGGCAGATAATAACATAAAAGGAAATGTAGCACTGAGGAGCTTCACCTAGCTCAATCTGCACTTGGGAACTAATTCCAAAGGGAATACA